CCAGACGCGAACCGAAACCAGACCGAACCGGAGGCGGCGGAACCGAACTGGGCCCGAACCGGGAACCGAACTGGGAAACGGTCGCGGGGGTGGATCCTTGGGGGGAAGTGCCCGATGCGAGCGCCCACTCTTGCGCTAGGTCCATCCCACCCGCCCCCCCTGCGCCTCCGAGCCCCCTCGCCCTGTTTTGCTGCTTGTCCAGGGCCGAACTGGGGACAAAAGGGCTGCGGAAAAGCTCAAATCGCATGTTTGGACCATTCGAAAATGCGTTCTGGGCCCCCATGTGGTTTTCGGAGCCTCCAGGGCTGCGCTGGGGACGGAAGGGCGGCGGAACTCAAATCGATTTTTGGGCGGCTCGAAAAAGCGTTTTGGGCTTCCAGGTGGTTTTCGGAACCTCCAGGGCTGCTCTGGGGACGGCAGGTCGGCGGAAAAGCTCAAATCGTACTTTTGGTCGGTTCGAAAATGCGCTGCGGGCCTCCAAGTGGTTTTCAGGGGCCCCAGGGCTGCGCCGGGGACAGATCGGCGGCGAATAAACTCAAATCGCATTTTTGGATTGTTCGAAAATGCGCTTTGGGCTTCGGCCGAACTGGGGGCAGCGGCCGGGGCTGGGCCCCCACCGCCCTGCGCGCGCCCGGCGAGGGCGCGGGCGGCGCCCTGGCCTTCCCGGCTGTCCTTTGGAATGACCCATGCCAGGAGTGAGCGGCCCGTACTGTCCCAGACCGTAGTCCCAACGTTTCCTTTCCTGGCGCCGAAGAATCGCCCGCCGTCGCCAGAGCCCCCTGGTCCAGGGGGCGCGATGCTGTCGACTGGTCCGTCGATGGGCCGATGGGCACCATGCGCAACGTCTGGGTCCAGTGCCCCCCCTGGCTCGTCGGGTAGCCGAGCCCTGTGGCTCTCCTAGCCCCAAGGTTCCTCCTGACTCCTGGTTGAACTGAACCCCCAAACGCCTCCATATGATCACGCGCACACACGTCATCTGGAAAAACCAGGAACCGAACTGGAACCGGCTTAAACGGAACCGCCCTCTGAATGGGAACCGCATCAAACAGCTCCGAAACCGGGGCCGCACTGCGCCGGGCCAATGCCCCCTTAATCGAAACGAGCCGAACGGAACCAGGGACACGCTGCTTCCTGGGGGCCATCGCCCGCGTCGTCGTCGTCGTCGTGGCCGGAGTCGCCGCCGATGCGGACGCCCTCCCCGTTCTTCTCCACATTCGCCCGCTCGCCGTCTGGAGCCCCCCCGGCGCGGTCAACGCCCATCCGCGCAGACACTGGGAGATCGAGACCCCGCTCAACCATTGGCTCTAGGGGGCGCCACCGCGGTCAACAATGCGAGAGCCAACTTGAGCCGGGCAGCCAAACGAGAAGCCGCCAACAAATATCCGCAGAGACTCCGAGAGGCATCCAACAAACCTTTGGTCATTCCGATCGCAAACCTGCTCCGCCCCTCCGCCTGCCCCCCCCCCCCCCATCCTCCGACCGCCCCCCCCCCGAGGCGCGGCGCTTGACGGCCCCCGCGGCCCGCGATGGCACATCGCGTTTCTCCGCGCCCCTGATCAGGGCTGCTCGCCTGGGCATCGCTGCTGGGCGGGCAGGTCGGGCTCGCGCGAACCGTCTAGAAGACGCGAGCGCAAGCGCCGCCGACGGGGCGGCCGCAGATGGCAATTAGAGGAAGCATTGGGAGGAGCACCCTCGTGGACAGGACGAGAGAAATGTCGCAGCACAAGTGGCAAACTAAACGTGCAGCCAAAACACAAATACGCGCTTCTAGCACGCATGTGCTAAATCGTTGGAAATAACTGCGCCGTGAGAGGCCCCCTCATACAATGGCGAAGACATGCGCGAGAAACGGTTAACCAAACAACTATGGTTCGATGCATTTGCGCAACCTCATGGAAGCCCACGCCGCGCTGCTGAAGTTCCGCTACGTCGGCCGACGCCGACGTCGCCATCTGCGCGAGGGCTCAAGCCAACCACGAATGCACGTTTGGTGATTTGCTGCCCGGGCCGCAACCGGCGCCGCCACTGCGTCGGCGCAGGCGAATTATTCACTGCGCACATCTGTCCAGAAATTTAAACGCCATCGCGAACGCTATCTGGAGCCAGACCACGCTGGCGATGAGATGATGGCACGCGGGCCTCCAGGCAGTCGGCTGAGACCGCGCGGGCGGGATCTGGCCGTGGGCCCGCGGGGCGCGGCGGGGCTCGCAGAGACGAGGCTGGGGGGCCGATGAGTTCCCATGGAAAGCATGAGTATATACACTCACTGCAAGATCTCGCAAACCACCATCAACCTACGACCTACGACATCAGAGGCCGCGACTTTTTACCGGCGCTCTCTGAAGACGCGGCAGAGAAGGAAGCCGCCGGAGAGGGATTTCTAATCTCTCCGAAGCTGCGCGCCGGCGCAAATTGTTTCAGGATAGACTCTTCGAGGGTCACTGTTATGTAATTGCGATAATTGATGTGGCGCCAGGGCCCCGGCGCTCAATGTTCGCGCGCGGCGCAACGGCGAGCCCGCGCAGTCGCAGCGGGATCTCTACCAGACGCTCCGCACCGCAATCCGCAATGCCTCGGCGCAGTCATGGTGAGCTGGCCAATCTCGTTGGGGGATTTCTACGCGAAGCTGCGCCAACAACTTCCGGGCGATTTTCCACGCGTCGGGCCCCGCGTCTTCGGCTGTCCCACTGCTACACCCGACGCAAAATCAAACCGACATTTGCTGCTGCTCCGGGGGCTTTGCGGCACCGGCGGAATGGCTGTGAACGACGCGCATTTTGGCCGCCCGGCAGACTTGCAAATCGCGCGTTATGACATCGGTCCCCGGCCTGCTGATCCAGCTCTTCCAAAGCATTTCGGGCAAAATAGATATTCTGATTTGTTTTGCAAAATGACACGCAGCTGTCTTGGACGTGCAACGTCGGAGACATGCACCTTCGGCGTCGCATCGGCGCGGAGCTTGCTGACAGGACGGCGGAGACTGAGACCGATCATTGATTGCACGCTGAACGCATTCGACGCGCGCACGGCGAGCGCACTTCAGCGCGCAGCAGAGGCGCGCTTGCCGACGGCGCCAATAACCCGCCGCCACCCCCGGATCAACAACGACGCCGTGGAATGGATCACCTGGCGGAGAGACGCTCGGAAGAACCGCGACTATGCTAAAGAAAAAAACAGCTCGACAGCATGATCAAGAAGTCTGCGAAGGCAGACAGGGACAAATGGCTGGCTGATCTTCAAGGCCACTGGAGACTGGGCGGATATCCAATAATGAAGAAAGGGCTCTAGGCAAAACAGGGCCGCATGAGGGGCGCGACTGCGCCCTTGTGGGCAGAGACCAACGCGCGGGCAAGTTGGCCGAATATTTCTCAACTGTGCAATGGGCTGCGCTTCCGGCGGGCGCTATCGACGACCCGTCGCCAATTGGCCCAGACCTGCCAGTGGCGAATGGCCCTGTCGGTCTGACGAGGTATGCAGAACCGCGAAGTAGTTTAAGCGGAGCAGAGCCTCTGGGGACGGGGCGACAGCGTTCTCCGTGAGTTCCGGAAAGCGAAATGCAGGCCAGACACGGCAGCGTGCGAGTGGGCCACGAAGTTGTGCAACGCATGCTGGACTGAAAAGAATGTTCCTGACGCAAGGCACAACGTCATCGTGACCGCCCTGTTCAAGAAAGAAGACTCAGCCAACTGCGCCGATCATAAAATTATCTCTTTGCTGACGATCGCATCACGTTGTGCGAAATTGTGATCTTCAACAGCTTGAAAAAAACTGGTGCGGAACGGAAAATATTGGGCACCCAATTCGGGTTCCAGTCCGGCCATGACACGACTGACGCGCTGTTCATTGCGCCCGGCGCCAGATCGAGAGCTCTTGGGAAACACGTTTGGCAGCGAGTCCCCCGACAACCACGCGCAGGCGCTCGTCTGCTTTGGCGCGGTGCATGAGTTTGCAGAGGCAGTTGGAGCTGCATACTCAGACCATACCTTTCCAAAGCGTGACGCTGGGGCGACGTTGCCGTCGCGAACTCAAGCGCCCAGCGTGGCCCGTGGATGTCCTCTATCTCCGCGTTTGCTTTCAACTGTCGTGACGGCTCTGATGCACGAAGCAAACCAGACGTGCCAAACGACCAGGCTTGTCGACGATCCTGTGCTCCATGTTAGTGAACCTAGATTTTCAGATGGTACGATCACGGCTGGAGTGCGGGATGAGTTCGTCAGCCAATTCATGCACGAAACTCAACAAGCTGGATCGAACTACGACCTCGCCTGGCGGAAAATGGAAGCCATGCTGGTTCGTTCCGAGACAGCATTCGGGCCAGATAGCGCAGAACGCAACAAACGTGATGCATTCCGAGCCCGTTGCCTACGGCGGCTTGCAGGTATCGGTCATTCCTACTACAACCGTGTCAACAACGCCGCTGAATTGCAAAGTTGTTATGTGCACAAATTCAAAATATGTGCCCATGTTCCGGCAATTACAAACTCCTGTTTGGCCAGCGCCCCCATACAGAGCGAGTACCCGATACGAAGATGCGTGTTCCGCCCCGACTCCTTCGATCTAGCGCTGCCGACGGCCAGGTGGAGGGGAAGTCTGGACGTTTCAGCTGCAGTGCATGAGTGTATTTCTTCGTTGATCAGGTCTCCCTCTGTCTGTTCCCTACCTTCTGTCCCATTTCCCCACCTCCTCTGTGAATTACTCGGCAAAGGGGTCCAATTGCGTAGTTTTATCATGAGTTTCAGGGGTGGTTTGTAAAAGCCTGAATGTGTGCCCACGGATGATTTAGACAATCCGTGCCCATGGATTCTTGCCATACCTTGCACGGCGTCCCATTGCCTCACAGCTGCGCCACTTCTTGTCTCACCGTTTGGCCTATTCACCTTTGACGTGCACGGTTTCTCTCTCCCTCTCTGTCCTTCTCCTCCTACTTCCTGCTTCCTCCTCATCCTCCTCTTTCTTCTCCGTATCGTTGTCCTCTTGCCTCCACAGTTTGCGCAAATGTCCTCGCCCAGCGGCATGGGCCTCTTGAAGGCGTCCAGGAGCGCGTCCACTAAGCATCCTGCTCGACATACCAAGGGTACAAAAGACAACAGGCCGCACCGGCTGGCACACAGCCGAAACGCAGCCGCGAGAACGCAGCTCAAAAACACGAGCCTATCCACCGAAGGCCCAAGGCCGCCCCAAGGAGATACCACAAGCCCAAACACGACGAGCCTAAGAGTACCCATCCCAAGCTAAGGAGATGAATAACCCTCGTGCAAACTAGAAGCTTCATGGCCTGAACCCCACGACGACCCCTCAATCTCTCCTGTCTACCTCCGTGCTCATTCGCCTCTCCTCGCTCCATCTTCCCTTCTCGCTCCTCCTACTCTCCCACCCTCCCTCCCGGGGGGGAAGAGAAGGGAGGGAGAGGGGTGGGGAGGGAGGACGACGCAGAAGGGTCGGGAAGAACAGAAAAAACAGGATGAACGCGAGGAGCAGCCTGTTAGCAATCAAATCGAGAGAAGCCCACGCAGCCGTCACATTCGGAGATTGCCCGTGCGCTGCGCGCGCCCATGGCCACGGGAGGTGTAGTCGGTGGCTTCGAACAAATAACCTGGCGAACCTTGCACAGAAAATGGTCACATCGGTTGGATTGAACTACTCGGGGTGGTAACATGGCAAGGACCGCCACGAGTTGTGAAAGCTACGCGGGAAGCTGCTACGTGGGAGACCCACGGGACACGGATAGAAGGACATGGGCATAATAGAGCTACTTGGAGCCCGACAGCCCTTTAGGGCGTAGGTGGTCTAATGTGTTCTGTTTTCCAGATGCCCCTGTTCCCTTCCGGGGAGGATTAATCAATGTTCCCTATTCGTGTACAACCCTTCCCCACCTGGCCGACGGCCACCCGGAAACATGGCGACCACATGCGCCCCCCCACAACCCCGATCAGAAAACAATAGAAAACGCACTCTGCCTCCACATGTGGGGCATGCGCGGCCAACCCGATGCGCCCCCCCACAACCCCTGTTAAAAAACAATACGAAGTACACTTTGGGGCAAAGTCTTGAATCATGGTCGTGAGGCCCGCGAACACTTTGTATTGCTCCCAATCTGTGGTGTTGGGTCCTCGTCATTAAAAGACGGTCCCCACGTTCACTCCTCCTCCTCCTCCTCCTCCTCCTCCTGCACCTCCTCCCGTTCTTCCTTCCTGTCTTTCTTGCCTCTGCCCTCCGCATGTCCACTTTGGCACACACATCTCACACGGTTCGTGGCCCCATGGGGAGCTCCACCGAAGGCCCCAGCGGCCGCGTCCGCATGCGTCCTCCCCGCCCACCGCATGCCCATTTCGATGCACCCCTTCACACGCATCGTGGCCTCATAGGGAGCTCCACCGAAGGCCGGCCTCACTGGCCGCGTCCGCATGCGTCCTCCACGACCACCGCAAGACCATTTCGGTACACCCCTAACAGGCTTCGTGGCCCCATAAGGATCTCCACCGAAAGCCCCAGTGGTCGCGTCCGCATGCGTCCGCCCCGCCGAACGCATGCCCATTTCGGCACCCCTTATACGCTTCGTGACCCCATCTGGGAGCTCCACCGAGGGCCCCAGTGGCCGCGTCCGCATGCGCCCTGCCTGCCCACCGCGCGCCCATGTCGGCACACCCCTTCACACGTTTCGTGGCTCATGGGGTGGGGAACCGAAGGCCCCGATGGCCGCGTCCGCATGCGTCCTGCCCGCCCACCGCGTGCCCATTTCGGCACACCCTTCACGGTTCGTGGCCCCGTAGGGAGCTCCACTGGCCGCAACCAGTTGCGTCCTCCCCGCCCACCGCATGCCCATTCCTGCACACCCTCAAACGTTTCGTGGCCCCATAGGGAGCTCCACCGAAGGCCCCAATGGTCGCGTCCGCATGCGTCCCCCCCCGCCCACCGCATACCCATTTCGGCATACCCCTTACCCGTTTCGTGGCCCCAATGGCCGCGTCCGCATGGCCATTCCTGCACACCCTCAAACGTTTCGTGGCCCCATAGGGAGCTCAACCAAAGGTCCCAATGGCCGCGTCCGCATGCGTCCTTCCCGCCCACCGCGCGCCAATTTCGGCACACCCCTCAGATGCTTCGTGGCCTCAGAGGGAGCTGCACCGAAAACCCCAGTGGCTGCGCCCGCATGCGTCCCCCCCCCGCCCACCGCATGCCCATTTCGGCACACCCCTCGCACGTGTCGTGGACCCGGAGGGAGCTCCACTGGAGGTTCCAGTGGCGCAGCTCGCATGCGTCTCCCCCACTCAGTACACTGTTTCGTAGCCACATAAGGGGGCCCCACTAGAGGTCCCAGCGGCGCATTTCGCATGCGTCTCCCCCCCGCCCCCCCCCCAGTACACCGTTCCGAGGCCCCACAGGGAGCCCCACCAAAGGTCCCAGTGGCGCAGTTCGCACGCGTGTCCCCCGCCCAGTACAACGTGTAGTGGCCCCGGAGGGAGCACCACCGAAGGTCCCAATGGTGCACTTCGCATGCGTCTCCCCCACTCAATGCACCACTTCGTGGCCCCATAGGGAGCCCCACCAGAGGTCCCAGCGGGGCAGTTCGCCTGCGCTTCCTCCACCCATTGCAGCGCTTCGTCGCCCAAGAGGGAGCTCCACCGAAGGTCACAGTGGCGCAGTTCGCATGCGTCTCTCCCACCCAGTACACCGTTTCGTGGTCCCACAAGGAGCATCACCGAAGGTCAGAACGGCGCAATTCGCACGCGTGTCCCCCACCCATTACACTGCTTCGTGGCCCCAGCGGGAGCTGCACCGAAAACGATGGTTGGAACCTTCGTCAATCAATTTTTGACACAGGCGGCAAGGGTGTCAGTATATTCCCGGCTGCGCGCAAGGCTACCATCTATAACAACAAACAGTGCAACATGCACCTCGCGGCTAAATCGGCATCATGCGCGGCCACCCCGCGACCGCTGTCAAGTGGTTTCTGACAGGGACGGCGGGGGTGGTGGCGCGTGGCCTGCTGTGCGCAGGCCCACCTGACACAATGACGGGCATTGGACAAGGATGGTGGGGGGCAGGTATTTTTCCCGATGTGTGGTCTCACGTGCGCAGGCGCACCTGACGTTCTCTGCATGCGCTCCGAACGTGGCGCACCTGGCGCGGCTGTGCGCACCTGGTACCCTCGGAGCACGTGGCGCATCTTGCGCACCAGGTGTGCCTGGCACGCTCGGGCCCCAGGGGTGCCTGGCGCGCGCGGTGCCCCTGGCACACGTGGCGCACTTCGCCCCAGCGTCGCGCACCTGAGGTCGGCGCTGGATCCCAGCAGCTGTCCATCGAAAAACGGCCGCTGAACATGCTCAGGCTCGGGTGTTACTTATGTGTTTGGAGGGCGGGTGGGATGAGCTAAACGGCTTGCGGGCGAGCGGGTAGCTTGACATCTCCCCCAACCCCTTCCCCTGGACCAGGAGGGGGTCCCGGGGTCCCCCCGAGGGGCTGGAGCGTCATAAATGCCCAAGGTGTTCCCAGCGGTCTGCAACCCAGTCGGCAAGAACCCCGAAAACCCAAGACCCCTGTGATAATTTCATGTAAACGCACATCAACCAAACGAAAGACCCAACCATGTGCATGCAGCTGCGAGTACCACGAGGGAGATGACACGAACGAGGGGGTGCGCTCAAGCTCAAACTAGCGCACGCGGTAGAACCTTGTTCCAAGAAGTGTGCGAAAACGGTGCCGGCATGAGCCGGGGAGACACATGCGAACATCGCCATTGTTGCCTTCCGTGGAAACCCATTTCTGGGGCCTCGAAACGTGTAATGGGTGTACCGAAATGCGGCGGTGGTGCCATGCGAATTTTCCCACTGGGGCCTTCCGCGGAGCCCCCCATGGGGCCACGAAGCGTGTGACGGGTGTGCCGAAATGAGGCGGCGGTCTTTCCCACCGGGGCCTTAGGTGGAACTCCCACCGGGGCAATAGGTGGAACTCCTTATGGTGCGCCGAAATGGGCACTGGCATGCGGAAAGCAGAGGCAAAGACGGGAGAGGACGGAGGAGGGGGAGGTGAGGACAGAGGAGGAGAGGAGGAGACGCAGGGCGCTCTCTTCCGAACGAGGACCCAACACCACAGGATGGTTGGGAATATAACAAACCCAACCACTCTAATTTCTTGATACACATGAAACAATGAATACGACAACGCATACACAATTTCCAATCGGCCCAGAAATCAAAAAGCAGCCATAGAAGGAGACGATGATGATGGTAATGGGGAGGAGGTAGAGGAGGACCTTGACCTTGACCTACCTGGGACCCCTGCTGAACCGGCTGCTCTGGGGCTCTACCTCGTTCCCTAGTCGCTATCAAAAGATATGGTTGAAATTACGATGTAAGCTGTCACTTCGTCGACGGCCTGCAACCGCAAGCAAGCGATCGGGCCTGACGGCCTGACCGCACCTCGCCTCTAACGCGGAGGGCTCTGGGCGGTGTGGCACCTGCAAGACTGTCATACAGCCACCGGTCCTGCTCCCCCGGCCTCAGCCCTCCCTCCCTCGGGCTTCGGCTAGGGGTGGCAGTGAATTAGAAATTGCAGGGCGCACGAAAATACAGCTCAGGAACAGCAGTCGGCGGGGGCATGGGAAAGGGGAGCCTTCCAGAATGAGCCTTCCCTCTAAACCTGGCGCTGCTGGCAATGGCTGGAGATATGAGATGAGGAAGTGCTGACTTGCCTGTCAAAACTACTGCGCCTCTCACTGCGGACTCCCACCTCACTTCAGCATTCGTCCTATGTCCCTCTCGCTCGCTTCCCTCAGTGCCACCCCGCGCATCCCCCTGGCTCCCTGCGCCCTCGACGCTGTCTCGATCGCGCCGTACTCTGCGTTGAAAGTACACTGGTCCCTCTCCTTCTCCCTTTCCTGAGCCGCCTTCCCCTTGTTTTCCTGGCGCGGATGATCATGATGCTGAAGTTCGGCTTGTGTGCGTTGGCTTGCCTCGTCGCCTCTTTGTAATACTTCTTGAATGTCTTCTGCGCCCAATTCGCCTTGTCCTGGTCTATCTTCTGCACCATTTTGGACCACGCTACGAGGCGGGGCGGACACAGGTCCACTTTCTTGTCCGCCTCGGCTCTTTTCACGCGGTCCTGCGCGTCTGCGTTGTAGTCTGCGTCCCTTTGAAGTCTTTCGTTGGTCACTGAGGCATTTGCGTCCACCTCCTACGTCTCGATCATCACCTCCGTCATTTCCGCGGTCTCTCAGGTCGCGGTGAGCAAGAGCTTCGCCGCCAGCTTCGGTGCGTGGTCCTTGCTCTTGTTGTCCTGGCGGCCCCACATGATGTCGCTGCCCTTCAGTTGCGTGCCCGCTCCTCTCTTCCAGCTCGTTCTCGTCGGTGCGTCGTCGAGCGTGCTCGTACGTCTGTAGCGCGGGAAGAAAAGGCGGGCGATCAGCATCTCCTCCTCGCTCCCAATGGCTGCCCACCGGACGCTTTTTGTGGTAGGACGTCTGCTCGAACTGGTTTCGGGCCCCATCTCTCACGCAGGAAAACTGAGTCATCGATCTCGACGATTGCCGCCCATCTGTATTTCTGCGAGCGGTTGACTGCTTGCATTGGATGTTCTTCGTATTCGTGGTCAGGGTCGCCGCCAAGTTGTGGCGGTGTTTACTGATACCCTTCAATCCTGTGTTCGTAGCTCGACCGCTCCTCGTCTCCCTCTTCCACTTGTACTGCGTGCCCGCTCGGTCCCAGTAGTGCCCTCCTTCCCGAGTTCGTCGCAGTTGTTTTGTTTCGCGTCCGCGGACCGCCCCTGGTACCGAATAGCTGGAAGTAGGCTTCCTGGAGGTACTTGAACCTCAAGAAATTGGGCTCCCCGACGGTATCTTCTCCACTCTGATAATACTCCAGCCGAGTTGTTCAGGTACTGTGTGTCTACCCATCCTGCATCTTCATGCCGCGCGTCCTCCGTGTTCAGCTTGGTTGCCTCTGTACCCTGCATTTTCCTCTTGGTCCCTGTAAAGTCTACATTGTCGTAGTTGTCGTACTCCCTGTCGATATCCGCCTATCTGTCCTGACAGCATGACAACGGGTTGACTTGTACGAGAGCCACACTGGTGGTCCATCTCACAAGAATGCAGGCCAGCACCCCATCGCTGGAAGATGACCCCTCCGTACTGCGGGGTTGGTTTAGATACTAAAGAGAGCTGCATGAATTGCTGTGTGCGAAATGGAAGCTTAGGAGAAGGAGGAGGAAAAGAGGAGATGAAGAGAAAGAGGAGGAGGACGAGGAGAGGAGGAGAAGGAGAAGGAGGAGGAGGAGCAGGCGGAGGAGGAGGGATGAGGAGGACGAGGGGGAGAAAAAGGTGGGCAATGAGCGTAATGATAATATGGGGCAGGGTCCACCTCGTCAGAGAGGAAACAAAAACAATCAGAGCTCAGCCTCGTCAAGCGGCAAATCAAGAGGAGGAGGAAGAGGAGGAGGAAGATTGAGGAGGGGTATGAGGTTGGATGCGGGTATCCCCTTCTGGTCGACCGAACCCACCCCTCCGGCATCTTTCTCCTCTTCTCCTCCTCCTCATCGTCCCCTCTCTTCTTCCCCTTTCTCCTCCCCCTCCCCCTCCTTCTCCTCTCGTCCTCCCCACTCTCCCCCTCCCCGTTCCCCTTTCTACCTCCTGTTGCTCCCTCCACCCCACCTCCTACCACCCGATGCCGATGCACTCCTCCATCATCCTCTCCATGCCATCCTTCCCCCCGCCTCCCCCGCCCCTCATCCCGCGAACACCCGCCCCCCGTCCTGTGCACTCGGACAGGGGGTCCCCCTGCAGGCGCCCAGCTGGCATCTTGGACCTGGGGCTGGGGACGGCAGGCACCACGGGGGGATTGGGCTGGCGATATCTCTGCTACGTGTGCCTGCCACTCCCCCTCGCCCTCTCTCCATGTGTAATGGTACTAGAACGACGCGCTTGGGTTCTAGCAGGAACCTGCCCTTGAGAAGACTACAAACTGCCCACATACGTACGCACGTACACACATACTCACGAATGGCGTGGGTAAGAATTGAAGACGAAACACGAACGACACCGAGCCGATACATAGTATTGACAAGGAGACATCCATGCAAACTCAATAAGAACAAGTGTAACTCAGGGGACAGCTGCGTAAGGAATATACTGCATTGCGGTGGCATTGCAATGCAACGCAACTTGCCATGTAAAGAAGATGCAACGACAATGCATCATCATGGAAAACAGCGCAGGGCCCTTCCACCGCAACTGCACGGCAATGCACTTGTAGCGCGGAACGCAGCAAAGAAGAGCAATGCAGAGTGCGATAGCGCGAGGCATTGTGAAGCAACACGCATGCAGCGGACAACTGTACGCTACGATGCAATGTAAGCAGCGCGAGAGGCCAACGAACCCTAAAACCCACGTCAGCCTCGATAATCTTACGTTGGCGCCCAACCGCCCCCGCCCCCTCCACGCAGCGTTCCCCAGCAGCCCAGTGTTCCCCGGCAACCCAGTGCCCTCTCCACCCAATGACCCCTCTGCACCGACCAGGACCCCTTTATCGTTGTGAGGCAACGCCCCCCCCCACCCCCTCCGCCCAGCTTTCTCCAGTAGCCAAGCTAAAGCTCAGTATTCCGCAGCAGCGCCTTGCCATCTCCGCCCCAATCCCCTAGCGTGCCCTAGCAGCCCAATGCCCTCTCCGCCCAGTGCCCCCTCGGCCCTGATCATTGTGTTGTTCGCGCCGCACCGACCCGCCATCTGGCACCCAGCAGCCCAGCGTTCCCCAGCAGCCCATCGCCCTCTCCGCCCAGTGCCCCCTCAGCCTGACCTTCAAGCGTTCCCCAGCAGCCCAGGGACCCCCCCTGCCTTGAGCCCCGTCCTCCTCATCTTCATCTCCTCTCCTTCCTCTGCGTGCAAGAGCTATGGCACGCGTGCCACGTGTTTCGAACCACTTGGCGCTCGTGCTGGCGACACCTCTGCCCTGCCCCCCCCCCCCGAGGTAGCGCCGCGCGGCCGGCCACTGCAGGGCGCCGGAGAGCCACTTGAGCAGCGCGGCGTCCATCGAGGAGGGGTCGCTGCACCTGCGCCAGAGAAGGGAGGAGGAGGAGGAGAAGGAGGAGGAGCAGGAGCAGGAGGAGGAGGAGGAGAAGGAGGAAGAGGAGGAGGAGGAGGAGGGAGTGGCAGGAGGAGGAGCTGGAGTGGGAGCAGGGGCAGAAGTCAGACGCAGGAGACGCAGGAGGACAAGAAGAATGATCAGGAGCGGGAGCAGCAGGAGGAAGCGGGTCGGGGCAGGGAATGGAGGATGATGGGGAGAAATCGTAGGCGAAAAACGAATAATTACGTATCCGCGGCCTCGCGGGCCAGACTCCTGGGCCGCGACCCCGAAGATACGGGGCCTACCCGCGGCCCTATCCGCGGGCCGCGACTCCTGGCCTCGCGGCCCTATCCGCGGCCTCGCGGATGCCCCGCGCGAAGCGTATCCGTGCGACAGTGTGCCCGCGGGATCGAGCTGGAAACGGATATGTTCGCCGCTGGTGAAGGAGGATGCCCAAGGAGAAGGAGGTACATGTGCATAAGGATGAGGAGGAGGACTTGGATGAGCAGGACAAAGTGCAAGCCCAAGCGCAGGCCCATTAAAGGAGCATGTTTGAGAGACCATGAGCCAGGTCAGGCCAGGTTACGCCTAGGATTGAGACTGAGTTAGCGGGATCAAGACGGACTAAGCAGGATTATGATAGAGTACGACGGTTTTCGGCCGCGGACATACCAACGCCGATGCTGAATCATGTAACCTCTCAAAAATTGCAACCGAAATGCGCATTCATTAAGGAAACGGGTCCTGAAATTACTGCTGAGCCGTCTTCGGGCCATTGGGGCCCTCCACGTGCACTAGGACTGGTCAATAACGGCTGGGGAGGAAGAAAGTACACTGCGGCAAGCCAAGGGGATCTAGGACTTCCCTCGGGATCGCTTTTCCTTCATGGCGATCCCTAGCAGGAGGGGAAGGAAGACCGAATCCAGGAATCTAGGACCCGGACGACGTCAGAAACATACATCACTTGCCGACTGAACTCTTGGGACGAAAGCCCACGGTTGCGTGTGTCCCAAAGAAAGTGACGGAGCTGGGATCGCAATGATCAGCCAGGAGGTGGGGGAGGCGGACGGGGGGATCGATGCCCAGACGCCCTCCCCCCCTCGACTAGACTGGAGGACACGATCCATGGAGGAATGGGTGAACAAACGCCGTGCGCACTGGCGCATCATTTGACGTCCTCCTCCCACTCTGAACTCCTCTCGTCCTCTTTTCCTCCTCCGTCGTTCTCTACCTCCTTCCTCCACCGCCTCATCATGTCTACTCCCTCGTCGAACCTGTCCACAAGTGATGCAGATCACGAGAAGAACTAAAACACTCCCGCCCTCCCGCCGCCTTCTCTCATCAATCTTGCGACATCCGCCGCCCCTCCTCCCGCCTGCATTTCCTCCCTCCCCCCTCTCCGTCCACCCCTCCTCCTAATCCTCTTCATCCTCCTTTTGTTGTTCCTTTTCCTCCTCCTCCTCCTCCTCCTCCTCCTCCTCCTCCTCCTCCTCCTCCCTCGTACACCTCGTCCTTTTCTTCCCCCCACGCGCGCGCGCTCCCACGCGCGGGAGGGAACCGATCGTCGACAGTGTGCCCAAGCTGAGTCTACCAAAATGGAGCTCCGATGAACGTGGACGGCCACTCAGAACATCACGCTCGCATCAACCGCCTATGACCATGTGATCCGAGCCTCCATGTTGACACCAGGTAAGAAAGGGATGGAAGAAGGGATGGGGGAGAGATTCAGAGCGAGCAAGATGGAGAGGCACACACACAAATATATATATATATATATATATATATATATATATACACGTACACATACACACAGAGAGAAGGATAGCGGTATACATCTAGACATATCTACATACTAACATAACGGAATGCGTATAAACGCATATGAGCACTTGTTAATGTTAAGGAAAGACGTGCTGTGAGCTCCGACAACGCCGGCGCGCTGTCCCGCCCTTTCGAAAGCTATTGGCTGGGCCCTGTCCCTCCAAGAGAGAGAGAGAGAGAGAGAACAACAAAAAAAACATCCAGGGACGCAGGCTGCACGCGGCCGTCCTGAGTCGAACAAGCGGCGGCAGGTGCGGCTCCCAAGAAATGCGGCAAACCACAGATGTCAGGACGATGTGGGAGGGGGAGAGGAAGAGAGACACTGAAGGAGAGAGAGAGAGAGAGAAAGAGAGAATGATCAGAGTAACATATTCTCCAAACAATGTTTGCACTTGGGGGCTCCACTGTGTCCGTCTAGCGGCTACGTTGTCGCCGTCGCCGCCGCGTCGCCGCCTCGTCGCTGCCCGTCGGCGGGGTCGGTGTGGCCGTCTGGCGGCTACGTTGTCGGTGTCGCAACCCCGCCGCCGCCTCGTCGGCACCAATCGTCGGGGCCTGACCGCCGGTCAGTCGGCTATGTTGCCGCCGTCGCCGCCCCGTCGCCGCATAAATTGCGCACCACACAGCTTCTGTCACCGACCAAAAAGGAATTAGGATCCACCGCCCTCCCCAGGCAAAAATTATCGCCCCCTTCTGGGGATGCGCAATGTACATACGTATCGCTCATTCGAGATATGATTTCATATGATCCCAGCCGAACCGGCATCTCCCCAATCATCCCTCGAAACAAATAGTGCGCACGCACTTTTTCATTCAACGATGTTTCACGATTCCCTTGCAACAAACTGGACGAAGTGCGCACGCGCGCGTCGTCGCGAGCGCATCCCGAAATCATAAAAAAACTGTGGAATTATCAAAAAACGATGCAATCGCGACGTTACGAATTCCGACGAAAACCATGCATGCGACCAAAAGTGCCCCTCGCGCGCGCATGTCGAAATCATTCGAACGCCCATGTGCGCGTGCGGGGGGGTGTACGACCCCTCTCAAATTCGCGCGTTGGCCGCGCGCACAATTCGAAATTCGTCCAGGACCTCCATCAACGACGCGAGGACACCATCATCGTCATCGGCGCGATCAGCATCGGAGCCGTACTTGCCCATGCCGTTGTCATTGTCATCGTCGTCACCAGTATCGCTACTACCATCATCGTGCCTGCCGGCGTCGACGTCGCCATTTTTTGTCCGCGCATTCCTTCGGGAGAAGAAGGGGGCAATCTGAGGGAACTGGCATCGCGAAAAATTGTAGCACTGATGCGATGGCGGCCAACATCTGCAATGACCCTGGGCACAGGGCTCGCCGCCCGTCCGTCCGCGCGGCGACCTAGCCGAAACCGCGGCGCTACAGGACCAAACCGTAGGAATACGCGGCTGGGAGGGGAAGGCGACGACAGACGGAGAGGGAAAGGAGGAGGAAAAGGAGCGGTAGGAGGAGGAGGAGGAGGAGGAGGAGGAGGAGGAGGAGGAGGAGGAGGAGGAGGAGGAGGAGGAGGAGGAGGAGGAGGAGGAAGAGAGACAGGCGGAGGAAGGAACGATAAACCTGCGGCGGCGCTCAATCAGCCCCTGCGACAGGCAGCCGCGGAGTGCATTCGGGGGCTGGGAAAACAACAGGCGCGCAAATTTCTACAGCGCTTTTCACAGATACGCTGCGACAGGCGGGACAAGAAATTAACAGGAGAAACTGAGGGGGGAGGAAGAGAGGATATCGGAAAGCTGATGCGAAAATGCCCAAATTCGCATCAATTAGTTTCGCGCGCTGCGCGGCGGAGGACATAGATCGCACCGCGCAAGGAGGACACGGATGGTGCCTGAGCGGTCACAAGCCAGCCAGGGCAGATCGAACAACTAAGTGGCATCAGTATCGGGGAACAGGAGAAGAATGACACAAGGAACAACAGCACGATGCGAAAAACGGGCCAACGTTCACATCCAGCCCAACGGCAGGGCGTAGACTTGTCGACCGACACAGCACATCCCAACTAAGAGGCAAGTTTGAACAAATCCGCTTGGGCATACCAATTCGCCCGCAGAGGAGAAGAGCGGAACATGCACCGCCCGAACCGGCAGCGGGCGGAGCGGCTCGCCCGACACACGCAAAGACTGCAAGAATAATGCCATAGAGTGAGACCAGGAGAAGGGGAGACGGCGGCCGTAGAGGAGGGGTGGACGGGGGGAGGGTGCCAAAACTCTGCGCGCAGATGATCAGCGCGAGCACTGTAGAGTAAGCGGGGCGGGAACGCGGGCAGCACACATGCCAGCACATGCGCTGGCACGGGGCGCAATCAGAGAAGACTAGATGTCGCTCTCGTCGGCGAGCGAGTCGAAAGAGCCGCTCGCGGCCAATCTCACCCCTTCCAGTGTCTAAGATCGTCGCAGGAGGTTTTTTTTTTTTTTTTTTTTTTTTTCCTGAAACTTTTGTTTTCACTGGGGTCGGGGTTTCTGTTGACGCTGGAGGCAGTTTGCGCGGCTCGCAACATAGCAACGCCATTCAGCGCGCGCGGGGGCGCACGCGAGCACTCAGAAGCGCGCAGCTACTGGGAGAGACGCCCGCAAGCGGCCACGCGAGACCACGGGCGCTCACAGGCACGCGGAAGCACTGGCAAGCACTCCCGCGTGTTCACATATTCCCAAAAAGGTTGGCGAGACTTCCACGCGTGCCCACGAGCACCCGCAACTGATCACGAAGCGCCCGCGGGCGGTCGCAGTCGCGGGCACGCGCCCAAAGGCGGCCACGCAAACGCAGAAACGCCCACCGAAACCTTCCCCGTACGCACTGCTCCGCAGGCACTCGGAAGCCTCCGCCCAGCGTCACGACCAGGGGGGGACGTAGTGAGTCGGGCGAATGTTTCTCAGCCTTGCCGGTCGCCCACGGCATCCCTGCGCGCGCTGGCAAGGGGCGTTTTTTTCGCAGACAGCTTCCGGAAGCCCATCGACCCCCAACGCATATTGAACTGCTGATGAAGGGGCCTGAGCGTGTTCCAACATTTACAAGAACGTTAGGTCGCAGAGGGGGGCCTTGGCCACACACGGCCAAAAATAAATGTTTGGGCCTGCGAGTTAACATATAATATGCATGGGCAAGGAGAAAAA